TTTCTGTACTTCTACAGATAGCAAACTTTAAATAAAGTAACAAGAAATCACCTTTACAAAGGTATATTAATTTAATTTATAATAAAGTTCAGATATAACGCGTGCTGTCATTGGTTGAAAGGTGGTGCTCTATCAGAGTATAGAACATGGAGTTGAAGCTGTCATGCCATCTACCAATTTGCAACATGGCGGACCAAATGCCAAATTTTTTTCTTGGGTTTTTATTCGACCCAGAAGTCCTATAAGACGAAAGAGAAAACAAGCTGTTACCATTGATCGATTTAGAGGATACTGTCAATGACAATGTGACCTACCTTTTAACTCAAAGTGAGGTTTCCAACAAAGTTAATTATGAAAACAATGAGCGTGGCGGCAATTTAAACAGGCAAAGATTTGAAAACATGTCAAGTGCCACAAGACGAGATAATTGTAAGAGCAGAAACAAAGAAAACCAAAAAATCCACCAAATGGGCTATCTGAGTTTTTGAAGGTGAGTTTTTTCGTTGCAAAAATATAATAAATACCATATGAAAACCTCGAATAGAGTGGACACCCATTTGCTAAACCTTCTTGCCAAAAAAAAGAAAACAATCAAGGAAGGTGGACGATTTTAAAACTGGCTAGCACACACACGATTCTAACCAACAACTATAACTTTCTCTAGAAAATGAACACCAAAATACAAATAATAATTTTTTTTCCGTTGCCCAATTTTAATAGCTTGGTGTAGTGAAAGAAAAGTTGCCAAGAACCTCCACGAAATGAGCAACAAAGAGCTTGACCTATCCAGAAGTTAAATCCTGCCTGCAAAGCACTTTTTCAGTACCCAAAGCAAGCCGTGAAATCTTCATTTAAAGTTTGGTACGACAACAAGCCTCTGGGGATCAACAAAATTGAAGGAATAATGAAAGAAATTTCTAAACTAGCGTCTCTTTCGAGAATCTACACTAACCATAGTGTCAGAGCCACTGCAATCATGCTGTGGTCCAATGCGCAAGTTCCATCGTGGCACATAATGGCTATCTGTCATCATTGCTGTGAAGCTAGCCTGAGGAATTACAACACTCATCCATTCAGTGAACAGCTAAGGGCTTGTTCAGATATCCTCTCTGGTGCATAGAATGGAAGACCATCACAGCCAAGTTCCTCTGACGGTCAGTGCGCTGGACTCTGGGTTGGATGGCCAGGGTTTAAGTCCTGGCTGGGGCACTATGTTGTGTCCTCAAGCAAGTTGCTTCACTCACATTGCTTTGTCTTCTCGGATAAGACGTAAACCCATAGGTTCCGTCTCCTGCAGGGTTATGGGTAGGAGATGTTAATTTCCCATGAACAAGATTATTTTGTGATGGATGTCCTTCAATGGGTGGGAAGGTTAGATCATTACATGGACTGAAGCACTGCCAGAGGCGCCTGATAAAATGCTGACACCCGATCTCATCCTTGACAACAACATGTAATGTTGTAAAGCGCTATTGATCAGCAGATGTAATTATGCACTATATAGATTGGTAAATTATTATATCTGCTTGGGAATTGCCTCCTTTATGAGCAACTTCCAAGAGGAAGGAGACACCGTTTCTGCTCTTGTTAGGAGGCAGATAATTGACCTTTTCTGCTTACACGACAGGTGCCAGAAAGAGCTTAAGCTGTTGAAGGAGGAAATGAATCACCTTGTCCCTTTTCTCCAAAACAAAATCAGGTTAATAGACGAAGCAGTGGATGCGCTTCTGCCTCACCCTGATAACCCTCTCAATGCAAGAATGATAGCTTGTCTTAAAAAGAAACGGACCAGTCACAGTAATCACATTTCCTTGCTGCTGCTTTTATGGGGTAGTATCTTGGACTCCCCTAATCCTATTGATCATGCTGAGGTAGCAAAAACCTATGCTAATTTTAGTGGTATCGACTATCTTCCAGATGACAAGAAATCAGACGAATCGATAGATAGATAGATACTTTGTTGGTAAATACTTCGCAGCATGAACTGAATTGCGTGT